GGCCCCATTCCTGCTCCCGAGACTGCTGCTGCCTCCATACAGAAGATCAGGGCCCTGGCTGGGAGGAGCAGAGGGAGAGGGATGGGGCTGTGGTAAGCATCCCCATGGAAAGCACCTGCCTTACTGCACACAGCCCTGGTGAAACAGGGACTCCCTCCAACAGTGCTGTAACCATCAGTGATTCATTTCTCAGACCATGCAGGCTCTAAAGGTCCTATGAGTCTACTTGAGAATTTTATCCTGAGTGGAGTGGACAGAGAGGACATTTCAGAAGATGTGGCAATAAACACTGAGGGCCATTAGTGCTGAAGAGTCCCAGAGCCCAGCAGCCAACAGAGATCAGCAGCAGAAGCACCCAGCAGAGGGGGCCTATGACCTGTGCCACGGGCTGGGTTTGGATGGTGGTGACTGCAGTGGCAGTGCCAGAGGACAATTGTGTCAGTTATTGGACCCAATACCAATGGCAAAAACAAAAACCTGGCTAAGGAATGGGTCTCTGAATTGAAATACATTATGCAGCTAAATCTGTTCTGTAACAGGGAAAGGGAATCTGAGCTGTCACTTCCATCCCTGTACTCTGAAGTTCTGCCAAGACCCTGGGCTTGGGAACTCTCATCAGGTCTATGCCACATGCCAGAACTCCACAGAGCCCCCCACAGACCTCCTCACAGCCCCAGCTCTTAACTGACAGCTCACTGGCTGCTACCCACACCCCATCCTCAGTACAGCACCCTGCATTTCCTTATGCCGGGCAGCCCTCTTTGCCTCCTGAGCAGCAGGTGGTACCCTTTCCTCTCCACTGGATCTAATCCCTCTGCTAAGGCACAAGTCCGCTCTTCTTTGATGGAAACCACTACAAAGCAGCTCTGAGCAGGATTTAAATTAACCAATTGGCTTTCTACGTTTGCTTGTGATTCTGTCCCAGGCCTAAGACCCATGTCTGGACATTGGCAACGGATTCCTAGTAAGTGAACTTCTATGATTTTCTGGTCCTGGCTGGAACCTGTCCTGGCCCATGATGCCATGATATATCAAAGAGAAGGCCACAGCTGAGGACACCTGACTCCCACCTCAGTTCACTAACTAGAGACTGCAGCTGCAGGTGTCTCACTCCTGCTGTCTCAATCCTGCAGTGAATGTCAACCTGGAGATAAGACAGTTCTCCTATGTTAGCATAATTTACTAACTGGAGAACTCTTTGAACAAATTTCCAAGGTTCTGCTCAGTTCCCATGCTATCTACTTTAACCTCTCCTTTGAAAACCAAAGCCCCGAGAATTCTTGGTCTCAGATGCCAGAGTATCTCAAATTCTGCTACAGGGTTTTGATCCTCTTGCAGCCTTAAAATCACACCACTTGTCTCTTTTATTTAAGCCTTTTCTGTCCACTTGTTCGGGAGCTCGCAGATCTGATCAGTCCATGATACATCTTTGCTCCCCAACACCTGCTCTCATATCCCTTTCCAAATTGGGTTGCTGTCAGGTCACAAATGAATGCCCAGTGCTGTTCAGGGGAATCTATTACTATTATAAGAGTACATGTTCCCTTTTAAGTGATAGGCATGGCTCAGGATAAAGAATGCTTTGGCAGCTTTTTGGTTCTTTGTTTTGAGACTGCTGATAAGTTTAGGGAAGAATTTATTAAGTAGAGTGGAACTTCCCGTCTGATAAGGGAGGATGTGATTGCAGTGTCAGCTCATTGCTGCTCTCCTGAGGGGAATCTGCTCTGAAAGAGGCCGCTGAAGCAGCTGATGGTTTGGAGCTAATGCTGCAGGGTACGATGCTCAGAGATCTGCAGAGAACGCAGCTTCCTGAGCAGACCCTTATGGGACCCTCACAGTTGTACCCAGGAGAGGATAATGGACCATTTTGTAACTTGTATTTCAGAAAGAAGGACTCAAAGAATGACACAAGAAGGGAGAAAGATGCCACTGTACTTTTAAGATCATTTGTTAGAAGCCTTTTGATAACAAGGACCCAGGGAAGCAGTGAGGAGAGTCCTCCTGACCAAGCCTTTGGTACTGCAGGCTGCTCAGGCAGAAGTCAGGAACAAAAACCTGAGGCAGGCCCTGCACATTGTGATCAGCCTTCGTGTTACAGGTTCAGGATCTGTGATAACCTCACTTTCTCCTAAGGAGCTGTAGGTCCCTTTAGAGGAAGACTAGAAGGATAACTTTCAGGTAGTGCCCCAGGATTCTTCCTCTAGGAAATTGAGTCTATAACCCTGTTGAACTCAAGAGGCAACGTAGTTCTATGTTGCTATAGTTTGAGGTAGATTCTCATTCATTTGCTCTAAAATTTTCTGATTATATGAATCCAGTGGACCTTCAGTAGGCTTCCTCTGTGCGTCACTTCAGTGAACACCATGGCTAATCAGCCAACGCCATCAGTGCACCAGTGTCAGCCCCCTGTGATCACTGCTTTACTCCTGTTCCTTTTATATAAGTGTGCACACCTTGCCTCTGACAGCTGAGAACTGTCACATCACCACTGCCACTCTGTGACCCAATTAAACCCATTGCCTTTTGGGTCTCCAGCGGAATGACTGGTCCCCGAGTTGAGGTCAAGCAATCAAGAGAACAGGAATGGCAGGGCTCCTCAAGGAAGCCAGTGCCTCCCTCACAAGACAGGTTCTTAATTATTCATGAAGGGTACATTTCTGGATCCTTCCAGTGTAGAAGAGGAGTATTTACCTGGAAAATTCACTCCAGCATTCTCATTTCCCGGAGGCTGTGAATCCCCTAAGTAAGCAAAGCAAAATTAAGCCTCTCTGCCTCTTAAACAGTGGGCATCTCTTGAGCCATACTTCTGAAAACCAGACAAATAAACTATTAATGCTTTCCTCCAACCATGTGTTAAATCTGTGGAAATGGGTTGGCTTATGTGTTGGAAATTTAAATGAATTGACTTGGTATTTCAGACCAAGATTAACTAGAGCTCATTGATGCAGCTAATTTGGATTTAGTTTCATTGTGAGGCCACCATGTAGTGTATTTTCACTTAATCAATGTGAAAGAAAACCAGTGTGAAAGAAATAAAATTTCTGCAGCTCACTCGATCCTCTCCCAGAAAATAAGTAAGACAGTGCCTCAAAAAATAATTTTTAAAGAAGTTAGCTCACTGCAAAAACACAAGCTTCAATTATTAGTACTAAGGAAAAAAGAAAACTTTGACATATAGTTTTTCAAGTTATTCCTATCGTTTTGTCTTGTTTTGCCACACATATTGCAGAAGCACTTTTGTGTTCAAAATGTATCAAAACCCCAATCTGTCAAAGTCTGCAGTGTTCCTCCTGCTTCTCTAAACAGGATGTGCCAGAGGCAAGAGCTGTACAGGCCTGACATGGTTTCCAGTTCCATATCTCTAGAGTCCACTGGCTCACAATAGATCCCTGCCCTGCCTAATAAATGGAATAAAAGTAACTTTCTACACTAGCTCAGGGCTCAGACTTTGGAGAGTGCAGCTCTTCTGAGACCACTGGTGTAATAAATCTTGGTTCCCTCCTCTTCTCTGATTGCTGCATTTTCTATATCTCTATTAAACCTAAATCTGCTGTAAGGATGTCTTTCTAAGGCTCTGTGAGTGTGGAGAAGCACAGCACTGGGAGAATCTAGGGAGAGGCAGAAACCTGGGGAGCAACTTCCTCATCAAATGGAGTGAGCAACCTTATGAGAATTGTCTCAGAGAGCAGCACAATGCTGATCAGCTGCAGATGGCTCAGGAAGGTAGGTGGTATGTGAAGAAACCTCCTTTGAGAGACAAATGAGACTCCTATGTTGGGTCATAAAAGGAACACTGACCCTTTATAGTTTAGTAGAGAAGCAGCCTCTGCAGTGTCCTGAGGATGTAAAAAACAGATAATGAATGATTTTCCTTTTGTAACATTCCCAGCCTAATTGTTGAGCCCAAATCACCAGCAACAGGAAAGACTAATCTATTGGAGCTTCCCACAATGGTAGGGACAATAACCTCCACCCTCATCAGTACAGGACAGTGGCCATACTCAGGAGTTACCCAGTGTAGGGTCCCCCATAACTCTTGGTGTTGTGTTCGTTTCATCTGTCAATAAACTTTACTCTTGCTTTGCATTCTCTTCTGGCCCCTCTTCTACTACACGGGAGAGAGAAACAATTCTGGGAACATTTGATGGTGGGGCAGTGACTCCAGAGCCACCAACAGATGCAGCACGATTCAGGGTAACATTACACATTTCCTGCAGCATATCTGGTGTCGTGGCGCTCATGTTTTGTGCTACGGGGCACTGCCCAGTACCATTTTAGGGGCAGTGGTGGCGGATAGGTGGGAAGAGCAAGTTGTCAGTGAGCATTACCGTTTTCTCCAGGAAACCTGGTGCTTATCATGATTCTTTGTGTCTTCAAAGAAAAATTTCACATGAAGCAGAAGCAGAAATTCTGTACATAAAAAATATTTAGTGTAAAATAGAAAAGACAAGTGTAATCAATCTAAAGGGAATGTATTTCCACTTGAAATAAGATTAAAGTTTTAGATCATGCACCTAATGATGCCCTAGAAACAGTAAGATACGATAGAAGCTGAGTCTAAAATCTGCTAGGTGATCCAGAAAAAAAAAAAAAAAAAAAAAAAAAAAAAAAAAAAACACTAAGAACTATGGGAGTTAGAGTGCAGGTAGAAGGTGACATGAAATATGTAACAATTTACTGACATCATAGAATTTTCTAAATACAGAGAAAGTATTCAATAGGGTAAGTGTTGTATAGAGAGCCCCTAGTAGCCACAACAACACTACAAACTCCACAAATATTGTAAGGTCTATTCAAATTCTGAGGAATCTAGCACAAAGGGAACACTAAAAAGTGTTGGAAGAAAATGTGAAGCAAAGTATAAAATAAGCCTCATAGTAATAACAGACTTCTCAACGTTAAATGACAGGAGAACTTGGGAATGGGGCTTTTCAACCATGCTCACCTGAAAAATCAATTGATAACTATACTACTATATTCTACAAAGGTATCCATCCAAATTGACAGAGAAATAAAGTTTTATTTCAACAAAAAGGAAGAAAATATATCCATTTTAACTGATACAGCATTGCAACAATACTTAAAATTATTCTTAAACAAATAGAAAGAGGCAATTATTACTCAGTAACTTAAATGAAAGAAAACAGCTAACTAGAAAAGCACCTAAACAAAAGAAAATCCACAGAGATCCACAAAGAAACATTAATTCTCTTAAAAGTTGTAACAAATACCTTACAATTGTAACATTCAATGTAAATGGTCTGAACTTTCCAATGAACAGATAGAGACTGCAAGATTCAATCAAAAGAAAAATATAATCTTCCATTGTCTCCAAGATATGCACCTGATCCATAAAGAAACACAAGGACTGAAAGGATAGTGATGGAAAGTGTTACTGTTACATTTTGAACTTGAAAGTAATCAGCAGTAACTATGTCAATTTCAGACAAAGGGGACTTCAAGCCAAATCTAACCAGAACAAAGAGACTTACTGTATACTGATGAAAGAAACTATTAAATAGAAAGATAGAGCAATTTAAAAATATTCACAAAATTTGACATACTCAGTGTGAAAGCAAAAACCACTGACTATAACAGGTAGATGCCAACACAATCACAGCAAAGGACTTCAGCATTATATTTTTACAAATAGACTAATCAGCACAGCCAAAAGTCAACAAAAATATAAGTTGAACCAAACCTTGGAACCAATGGAATTAATAGATATATTCAAAATGTTTTAGCTCATATAGGCAAATAAACATTTTTTTCTCAGTAGCCAATGGGGCTATACCCAAAATAGACCATATATTATGTCATAAAATATGTTTTAGTGAATAAAAAATGCAGTAATTTCTTGAAATCACTGGATCATAGTGGAATAAAACTAGAAAATCAGCAGCCATGAAACTGCCTGAAAGAACTTCACAAACATGTAAACTAAATTATACCTCACTGAATAATCACTGCAGCACAGAAGAAATTAAAAGTTCCAGCAGTCACATGACAATAGTAGAATATATCAAGTCCCACTGGACACAAGGAATGCACTTCTATGAATGGATATTTATTTGGGAAATATCTGCATAAGAAAAATAGAGTGACCTTAAATAAATAAGGCATCTAAACATCCCAGAAATGCAAGAACAATCCAAAAATCTATAACCTGTAGCAGAAAAGACATTATAAATACCAGAGTGGAAATCAATTGAAGCTATAAAGATACAAAAGATTGATAAATAGATTTTCTTTGTTAAAAATAAGCAACAATTAACCCTTAGTCAACTTAGGGGAAAAAAACATGAAAATGCAATTCTAAGTTAAAATAATAATTTAAAAAAATACACCTAAAACCAAGACTATTAGACACTATTTCAAAAAAACAAATATTCCAGTAAACTAGTGAATCTATGGAAAATGGATAAAATCCTAGAAAATGGAGAATTATGAAAACCAAACCAAGAAGATATGAAAAGCTAGAAAAACTGGTAATAGGTAATGCAATTGAGGCAGTAAAAACTCCACAGTGAGGAAAAGGCCAAGAGCTTCTGAACTTTGCAGTGAAAGTTTCTGGAACATTGGAGAAGAATTAAATGCCAATAACATTTTAGTCCAATCAATGAGGCAACAGAAAGAAATTAAATGATAGAGAAAAGCAAAGAAAGAAATGAAAGTATCCTTACTCACACAAGATATGGCCTTTTCCGTAAAAAAAAACTCATAAACGCCACAAAAATACTCTTATTACTAACAAAGTCTGCAAATTGGCAGGATACAAAATCACCTCACAGAAATGAACAGTATTCATTCACGTTCATAATGAATCTACTAAGAAAAAAAATCTGAAAAAAAGTTATTTGTGGTAGAATCAAAAATATCTAGAACTGAGGGAGTGAAAATAAACTACAGCTCAATGAAAAAAAAAAAAAAAAAGAAAGAAATTGAAAAGGACATCAGCAAATCATAAGTCATCTTCTGTTCCTGGAAATGCAGGGCTAATATTGCCAAATAGTCACATTACCAAAAATAGTATACAGATTTAATAAAATACCCATCAAAATGAAAACATTGCTCTACAGAAGTAGAAAAAGCAAGTCTAAAATTTATCTGGAACCGGAAAGTACCCAGAATAAGAGAAGTCCTTGTCTTACCTTCTCTTTACTAAGACCCAGTACCTGAGCCCAACAACAATGATGAGAAGTTTGTTTTCAAAGTCCTCAGACCTCACAGTCTGTAAAGATATCAGTCCATCACTGATCGGCTCCAAGGCAGGGTAGTGTAGCAAAGGAACCTTGCAGGAGAGGAGAGTGGCAGCAGACAGAAAGTAAAGAGATCAAGAGAGGAGGAAGGGATGTAGGGGCTTCCAGGCCACGCCCCCAGTGACCACCTCCTCTGCTTGCCTTCACCTTCCACCCCCACATTCAGCTATAAACTCGTCCTTGCACTGGTTCACTGTTGAGGATCAGGACCCCATGATGCAGTCACCTCACAGAAGACCCACGTATGAGAGCAAGGGGCTTTTGGGAGTCATCTAGGTGACTGCCAAATATAGCAGCCATCCTGAGCAACAAGGGCAAAGCAGGAGGTACTGCAAATGTCTTATTTCAAGATATATTACAAATCTGTGGATCTGAACACACCATGGTACTGGCACAAAAATGGATATCCTGAGGAGAAGACTAGAAATGAGATGCAGACACAACCCCCACACCTTCGCTGATGTGAAGTTTAAATAAGGATCTACAATCACATGCGAAGTAAGTGATGGTCTCTTTGACAAAGGGTGCTGAGCGAACTGGTTACCCACAGGCGGAGGAGTGAGCCCGCACCCACACCTCGCAGACACAGCAGACACTGTGTATGACAGTAGAAATCCTAAATCCGCAGGAAGCAGGCCACATATCTGAAGACACAGGCACAGGACTCCACAGGAACAAAAATATCAATAATCAGCAAACGGTATTATATCAAGTTAAAATTTTCTGCACAGCAAAGGAACAGTCAATTGAGTGAACAGACAATGTTCAGATGTCAGCTAATCCTCAGGCAAAGGACTAATATCTAGAAATATATATATTATGTATAATATATATATATATAAAACACATATAACTTAGAAGGATACTTCAACATTAAGGTCTAATCCAAAATGGACAAGACATGGAGGGAGAGGGAGGCAGAGGAACAGGAACTGGGAGGAGTAGGGCGCAGGCTGGAGGGGAGGGGGCACAGTGAATTAGGATGTGCCATGCACAGGTGCAAACTCCCCACAGTAAATGTGATCATCGTGCATTACAAACACGTACTATTAAAAATTTAAAAATTAAACACTGACCACAGAAGTAACTAGATATTTCTCAGGTACAAATATCTAGTAAGTACTTAAAAAACTATTCAGCATTTTTAGCTACTAGAAATACATTCAATAGGATTCCCTTCTTACTCTGGTTTCAGAGCACAAGGTTTCAGAGAACAAGCAACTCTCTTGTACAGTTGATAATAGTGTAAGCCACTATTATCATTGTGGAAATCAGCCGTAGAGTTTTCTTGAGTATTAATAAACAGAAATTCCATTTGGTAAACTATATTCTTAAGGTTGTTTCTGAAAAACTCAAAACATCACATTATTAGAATATACAGACTCATAACAATAATTCACACCAGCTAAAACATAGTAGCAGCCTATATTCTCATCAACAGGAGAAAATAAGGTACATATTCAGAATGGAGAGCTATTCAGACATGGAGAATTTGAGTCATTGGTAGGAAAATGAATGAATCTCAAGGCCATGATGTTAACTAAAATAAACTTTAAATTATTTAAATAATGTATGCTTTCCTTTGTTTGAGAAGCCCAAAATACAAATAATTCAAAGAGGAAAACAGAAGAAACATGATAGATACCTGACAGGCAGGTTTGTCAAAGACTCTCAGAGATAACAGAGAAATGGGTGAGAGGAGGGAGACACGGTGTGTAACGTGTCAGCTCCCCAAGGAGAAGGCAGTTAGTATGCAGTGCAGACACACACCGTCAGCACACACACCACAGCAGGTGGACACAGAAGGACAGGTGAGCTCCCATCTGGAGCCAGCACACAGACACAGTGACATCTCGGAATGAGGATGCAGCAGTGACACCTGGGCGTCAGCTCCAAGGGAGAGGCTGCACCCAGCTCTGTGTGCAGAGGAGCTCACCCTCCACTGCTGAAAACTGCAGTACTCACCGTTCTCTTATCTGCACTTGTTCACTGGCGTTCACTTAGAGGGCGCTTTCTTTTATTGACATTTCAAAATGTTTTGCTTCTTCTTCTCAGATGCTCAGGCTTCTCTTGGAAAATTTAATCTTGTAGGAAAGAAATTTATGACAGAAAAATTCAGTCTAAATCAGGTCTTAATCTGAGGTGGAATGTCATTGAAAATGTTCCATTTTCAAGTACTGTTTGGCCATATAACCACATTTCTATAAGACTTCAACTGGAAAGAAAATAATCAAAGAAAAACTAGCAGATGATACTGAAGACAAAGCCGTAATGAGTGCCAAAGTTATTTTTTGCTATATATGTTTGTAAAGTAATGAATTTAGTTTGTATTTTATGATCATCCTGAAATACACCAGGAATTCTTCAGGTTAGATGCTGGTCACGTTCAGGTAAGTATGGCAGATACAGGAGAGGAAAATGTCACATCCTGTTGTCTGCATGGTTACTAAAAGCAGCTGATTTATCCTTTTCATAAAAAAAATGAATTGAAATAAAGTAGACAATGCAGTCTGGTTTTTTGTCACCAAGCACCAGGTAAAGCTATGAAACCACTCTCTCTCTCCTGCCTCAGGAGCTGCACAGCTCTGACAGTGCAGAGTCTGGGGCTGTGTCAGGCACTGACACTCGTGATCCTCTCAACACTGAGTGAAACCTGCTCCTCAGGGATCCTTATCACTGTCCTCACACTCACAGATGAAACGCATGTCTTCTGGGGTGATCAACCTTTGTGAAATACTGGAAGCTGCTTAGTTTTATAAGACCTAAGCAGTCCCCTTTGCTTCCCTGCTGTTGATTTTTAAAATTTCTATTTTGAAGGATGCACGGATTTGCAATGTGCTATTAGTCTATCACTAGTTTTGCTGTGTGGGAATTTAACAATGAAAATGGCTACACTCCTGTGTCCTATGCCAGTCTGTTCCTATGAGCCTACAGTTAAAATTTCCTGTTTTAAGATTACTTTTTTCCTTACGCCCACAACTTTAAATTGTAAATAGAACTACCTTTGACTAGGGTGGCAAATACTTATGTCAAATATGGCTGGAAAATGAACTGGATATACACTGAATGCAACTCTTTTGTGAGTAATTTTTGTTTTGTTTTGTTCAGTTTTTCAGTCCTAGAACATCTAAGGATCTTCAGAAACATCAAAAGAGAGCCAAAGATATCACTCCTTAGGTAAATGTGGAGAGTTTATCCTCCCTGAAGTTCATTTCTCCTAATTTTGGAGAATTTTTTAACATAAGTATGTAATATTTTCTCCATCCCCCTGGGGGGGGGGAGTGTGGAAAAACAAAAGATCAGTACTGATACTCGTTTTCTGAAAATGTGTTGAATTCAGTGTCAGTTGTGTTAAACTTTGACCAATGCCCTCAGCACGCTGACTGCTGTCCTGTTTCCTAAAGCCTGCTTTTATATGACTGTTCACAGCTATCTGAATCTGTCATCTGACTAATTGATGTCTCTTCTGGTAGATCCATCCCAGAGTAAGGCAGGTCCTTTGCTTTCCCATGCACACTTCCTCCTTTATGTTCCTTTCACCTTAATTATCAGTGATCACAGTGATAAATACACTATCACTTCCTCTTCTAATTGGGAACATTGTACTCCAAGGTCACTACTATGTGTTCTTATGGCAAGAACTTATTACCTCCTTAAACAGTATTCATTACATTATTAACACTGCAGTTCTTGTAGGTGTAAATTGCACATCTAACTCAAGGAGGAAATCAGTCTGTCTCTTGCTAATTAACAACCATGGCACGGCAGTTAAGGACAGCACACCAGAAGCAGGTTGGGGTACAGCAGTATAACACTGACCACTTGTGGCAGCTGAGGAGTAACCAAGAATGGACCGAAGCTCCTTCTTTCAAAACTCAAACACGTATCCTGTGGTTTAAGTATGATAGCCATGGTGCAGTTTTCTAAAGGAGAGGACCCTGTCCCATTTCAGAAGCAGCAGGGAGAGAATTTCTCTACAAAAGATCCAGTGCTAAGTGCATTTTGTATCTGTACTTAGTGGGAATCTCATCTCAGTAAAACGTGGAATTTACAGAGTAAGATAACAGGATGTCACTGGCTGTATTGAAGGCCTGCCAAGGTATTAACCATAAGTAGCATTCATTTCATTATTAATCTGCATTCATTCTGTACCTATAAAGTACACACTGGCCACAGGTAGGAAATCACCTTGTCCATGCCCGTCACCAGCCACAAAATGGGCTGTCAGTTTCTGCTGGTGCCATGAACTGGCCACACTGGGAATCTGTCAAGGAGAAACAGCAACATGGAAACAAGACATGGAGAGCACAGTGTCACCATAGCAGCACTGTGCCCTAGTTGGGAAAGCAGGCCTCACCTCCTGTAGGGTCCTAGAATCCTGCTTGTTGCTGTGTGCAGAATGGCAGACATCTGTGCCATTTCACAGGCACTTAGAGGACAATTTATGTAACTGAATAAAATGAGTCCTTAGAGAACAGTGACCCTGGAAGGCTTGAGGACACAACAGGAAATTTAAAGAGTAATATAATGAAGATGGGTGTGGTGGTGCATGCTGTAGCCTACCACTCCAGAGACTAAGACAAGAGGATCTCTGTGAGTTCAAGGCCAGCCTGAGCTACGTAGTGAAGCCCTATCTCAAAATAAGCAAACCGACAAATAAACAAATTAAACTAAAAACAACATAATATTATTACATTGATTCCGGAGAGGGTACACAGTCAGTTGTCTGAACTGTGCTGACTTTGACACAGGGGTTTCTAATTCTGGAATAAGGAGATTTTTTGACCTAGGTTCAGTCAGTCATCTGCAGAAGTTACCTAGGCAATGCCCCAAAACCATACTCAAGTGTACTTCTTACGATTTATGTTACTAGTGGCAGCAGGAATACTAAACAAAATATTCCAGGAAGGAGGGGAGTGAGTTTGAGCAAAGCAAATACTGAACCTAGAATTTATAATTACTTTTAAGGAGTGTATCTCAAAGGCAAAGAAGCAAAAACAAATTGCAGACAACAGAGAAAACACATTTTTAACACATGTAAGATGTCTCCCAATTACTCTACATATATCAGTTTGTTACAGAAAAACCAGTATTAAACTGAATGAAGACTCTACACTGAGGAATCAGAAGGCAACTTTTATTACACCAGCAAGTCAGTTGGAATCCATTCCAAATCACCAGCCATGATTCAGTTTAGGGTTCAGTTTAAATAGTTTGCAATGAGAAAGTGCAAGGCAGATGGCAGATGGCATGATTGGGTACATGGATTAAGTCATGGGTTGCCCAGCAAGCTAGTTCTAAGTAGATTCCCAGAAGGAGGGGAATGAGTTTGAGCAAAGCAAACAGAGTTAAATTGGTCCTTTACTGGGCCAATCTGTCCAAACATGAATTCCTCAGAGTAAGTTGGAAACTGTGTATGTTTTTCTAAGTAGAAAAGAACACATGCCTTATAGCCGCATGCAGTCAAGTTGATCTAGCATATTATCAGGAAGAAGAAGTTTGATGTAATTAAGCCTAACTGAATTTTGCAGTTCAACTATGTGACAAGTAGCAGGCACTAACTGATTTTTAACCCCCTACGTGTCATGGGGTCTCCATGGAGTCTCTGTGTGCATGGCCTAACTCCTGTGCCACTGGGGAGGAGGTCCTGAGACAGTTTCAGAACCATAGCGACCCACCATGGGTTCCCATTCCAGAGATAGTTTCCTTCTTTTTACCTACAGATCCTGTTTTATGTTTTATATCCTTACTTTAGGCCAATGTGAGGTCCACTGTCAATTATTCGGAAAACACTAAAATACCAACATAGGTTAACATTAGAGAAAACATATTCATTAAAAGGAATAACTATAGTATCAATTTTATGACCAAAGCACATTTGTATAACAGTAGTTAAACACTTTATGCTCCTGCACCAGTCAAAAATTTGGCAGTTTCTACCTGTGTCCTATATTGAACACTTGAATGCTCTCTAAAGATTCAGAGGCATTTGATTGTCAGTGGAGACTGAAACAAATCAGACATGAATGAGACACAAATGGAAATCATTCCATTTCTGGCCTGGTCACATTCATCAGTGTCCCATTTTCCAGATAAATGTCACTCAAACAATGACTGTGGTTTAAAATCGAATTTCCTCTTTTCATTTCGTGGCATGATTTCCCAAGGAAAGAACAAGTCAGGCCCTTGACATCTATTATTTAATTAAAACCATTGTAGTAAAATTTAGAACATCTGCAAGTTCATGATTTTCACTGTTAGTGAAAACAGGTGACTCATGTAAACGCATACACATGACCTCATGCAGACTTCAGACACTTTGTGGTAGGCTGCACTGGCTGTGGGCATATCTTTAAAACCATGGTTTAATCACATCAAGAATTTACTCCATGACTATTATTTTAGGTATTTAGTCAAAGGGAAAACCTTTGGTAAAAGGCAGAGAAAACAGGAAATGGGTCTGGAATTCCGAAGAATGAAATGTGCATGTTTCTCTATGAATCCTGAGAGAACCTAATGAATATTACTGAAAACTTAGCAAGATGAAAGTTATAATGAAGATAAACAGTTATAACAAATGTTATAATGAATGCAAACAGCCACCCTATAAATAAAAATCATACTAAAATACTTTTGGGAAGACTTAATTTGCATGGTTTTCCATAGGGTTTCCAATTTGTGCCCTCTGCCATAAACTAAGATTCAGCTTCCAGAACAGGAAAAACAGATGTTCAAAATCCAATCATGAGTCACTTCCTTACGATAGTAAAGATAAACTATGACAAATTCTTCACCATAAAGTCAGCTATTAATAAAATATATTCAAAGAAAGCCTGCCTGGAAAGTCATATTCTCATAGTAAACCCAGGGCAAAGCTATATCAAATACATAGAAAAATATCATATTATCATCAGGTTTGCACAGTCCTGGAGCAGTACCAATGTTTTGTATCAGTGGAATTCCAGGCTTGATTCACTCTTATTTTGCCTGATTTCAAATAAACATTGTAGAACTCAAAGGATTTGGGACCTCTCAGGAGCGGAATCACCCTATACAGAAAGTGTGCAGTCACACTTTCTGAAAGTCATTATCATGGTATAGGCAGCTGAGTTAGAAATATTATAGGCAGTCAAACAGGGCTGGGATCTTGAGGGAGCAGGCACAGAGGATCAGATGTCTTTTGACCTTGGAGTAGACAGACACCTCCTGCTGTGGGCCAAATATAAGACAAAAATCAAGCAAATACACCCACATTCTAAGGATTGGTATTCTAAATAGTTCTCTATCACTGGGAGGAAGCCAGAAGTCACCATTCCAACTTCATACAGGAAGAGTCACTGCTCTTTAAGCATGCCTGCTTGCTAAGTGACTTGCTTCCCCATTTATCCCTGATTTAATCAATTTTACTTGAGTAATTAATCTTACTGGTTGACCATAATTCTGTCCTACCTCATTCCCACATTGCGAGTTCCCATTTTTCCCCCACCTCACTTCTTAGTTTCACTGCTTGGCTTCACATCTTAGTTTTGTTCTATAAAATCCCTAGAAAAGACAGTCTTTGGCAACCCACTTGGACCCCTTTTGTCTCTCTGCCAGACAGGAGCATTCTTTCTCTCAAGAAATATATTCTGCTCTTAGTCTTTGTTGTTCCTAAAATTCATTCTTTGATTTTATAGAACATGGACTCATACTGGACATTTACTAGGTCAGGAATTTCATTCCCCTATATCAATAACAATGATGAATTTCAGTGCATAAATTGGTCAAATGTTCACAGAAAAAATATTTAAGAAATATACTGTGATGTTAACTAAAGAATTCTTCTTCAGAAATGGTTACAGAATGAATGAAAATAATTTAAAATTTTCCCAAATATCCATGTGGTGGTCCACTACCTGAGGTATGAAGGAGCCAGAAAAAATAATTTGGAAAGAAAAAAAATTATTTATTAAAGCACAAGTCTGGCGACGCATCCTCCAGTAGCCAATATGGAAGACTGTGCATCTAACCGCTAAAGGACGGGGTTTTTATCCTGTAAAACCATAAACATCTGCTGGTCTCACAATGCAGGGGGCATTTTCAGGGCATACTACAGAACAGGAGGAACATGGCAGTTACATTTCTCGGGAAGAGCAAGGTTCAGGTAAGGGTTGGGCTAACAAGCAAGTTTAGATTAGGCAAACATCCTCTGGGGAAGGCACATCAGGACAATTTATCCTGCAAACAAGCGAATTATCCTGCAAACAAGCAAGTTTAGATTAGGAAGACATCCTGTTCTGCTCTTAGAGTTACCTTTGTGATAGAGTTATTTCCAAAAGATGAAAAATATTAACAAAAGATGAGAAATATAAAATAAAAAGCGGCCTTTATTCTGAGAACACGGAGAGAGATGACCAGCACCCCCACCGCTGGCGTCCGGCAATCTCTCCCTTGGACATGCGGCGTGGGGGGCCTGTAAATAGCCTCGGTTTGGGGTGGAACCTAAGGCGGGCATTAGGGATACACAGGTAGCCCATTGGTCCTAGGTTTGGCGCCATATGTAAATTCCCAGGGGCAGGAAGATGGCGTCACAGGTAACTTCCTAGGGGCAGGGCAAGATGGGGCTTCCTGCTTCCGGTTGTGGCTTTCCTGGCTACAGTATCCTGTCTGGGCCAAAACCTTTCACTTTGATTTTTCTCTTGCCTCCGGGGAGACTTATGAGGGGGTTTTATATAGGTTACAACAAACCATCCATCACACTTTCCTAAGCAATGACAAAGCTTTGAAATGCATATTTTCAACAATGAATTACTCAGCTGTATTACTGAGTATGCAGTATTCAGGCAGTCTTCACATGTGAGAGGAATTTTGACATTAATGTTAGAAAATTAGTAGTACATATTTGAAGAAATACAGCATATTTTACATGAGTCAAATACACTTACAGGATAGAAGAATAAGAAGCATGATGTTTCTGTGGCTTCTCAGGACTTTCATAGTCACAGTGCTGTGACATGTGGAACATTATTACAGTGCCTTATGTCTAAATCTGTTTGTGTACTATACCAGAATACCTGAGTCTGGATAATTTATTCAAAACAGAAATTTATTTTCCACAGTTCTCACAGCAGAATAGTTCAAGATCAAGGTTCCAGGTGGTTCTCTCTGGTGAGGCTTTTTATGCAGTACCCCGACATGAAAGAAGAAAGAAGGAAACAAGGAGGTTGAATCCTGCATAATGGTTCTTACCTCACTACATCTCTGAATACCATCACACTGGTGAAATGTCATTGTTGGAGGGGCCATATTCAACCCTAGCTCTGTATGCATGGCCCCCAAACCTGTGTTCTTCTGAATCATGTGAACATTGCCTTCACTCCCAATCAGCACATCCGAGATAACTTCAGCAAAAACATCTGTGATCCACAGTCTCATCTACATAGTGCAAGGATGAGATCCATGCAGGATTCATCCTGAGGTATATTCCTTCCAGCCAAGAGCCTGTGAAGTCAACATTTAGCTTGCAAATACAAAGCAGTGACAAGCACAGGATGTTAGAGTTTTCTGGTACAATACAGAAGCAAAAAGTACAAAAAAAGAAAGAGGAAGTTTATTGAGGATGTGGAAAGGACCAAACAACCCATAGTGGCTAGGCTGTCTCCTTCAACCCAATAGAGAGAGGCAGAGAGTTATATGACCTCTAATGGAAGTGGCACACGAAATGGGCATTGATGATGTGTAAGGAATTGATTGGAATTCTCTGCGCTCACAAACATGAAAGGGAGTTGCAATCAGGGCTGAAGAAGGAGGAAGTGGTAAGTATTTCTGCTTTGGCCTTCCATCATGTTAGACTGCCACCATAATTGTATAGTAAATTAGGGCAAGAATCTTTCATAGGACAGACATCATCATTCCTAAGGGATTGATATTAAAAAGGGGAACAGGGCAACATGCGCCAAGCAAGTTTGATTCCAAGAAGGAAAATGCCACAGAACATTTAGTCCTGAGTTTAATGCACCTTAAGCCCTTATCCAGCCTTCCAGACAGCCTGGGGCTGTGCTTGGGCTCCTACCACCCAGGGATTGACTGGGAACAACTCTCATGGGCTGAGACGGGATGCAAGGCTTTGCATATGGGTGCCTCTACTGGTTTGACATTTCAAGGACAGACTTTATTTGGTTTTACTTGGTGGCCCACGCACACATTTCTGAAAGCTCCTCTAGGAGGGAATCACTATAGTACCTCTGCCCCTTGGCAGGGTTTAGTCTCAGGTCAAAGGCTAAATCAGACAGTTGTTTTAAATCAACACGTACCTAGCAGTGCCTCCACAGTTTTTAAGTCTGGGCACCTGTTGTTTGATGATGAATATGCTATGACTTGTACTCAGTATACATTCTGGAGTGGTGGTCTGTGCTACAGTGGGGTCCATTGTGCTGCTTGTGTGGCTGGGGCAGTCATAAGCACTGTGTAGACAGGTGTATAATGTCATTGTAACATCCCAGGGCAATCAGGGTGCAGATCTGCAAGGAGCCTGGGTCTCCCCAGAGAAATTTTCTTGTCCTCAGGATCTGTACACAGAGGTATGTGAGGGACAGGGCCACCACAGCCCCCGAGCTGCTCATGATACTTATATTTCTCTTATACACAAAATTATGGGGTATTTGTTCTTGTGTGTCTAGCTGATTCCACTTAATATTATGTTTTTACACTTACCTAAGACATCAGTCAGTGCTCACTAGAGAGCCAGATTTAATATAATTAAAATATACAGATTTACAAGTGGGATTGCAATGGCCAAAAGCAGAATCAAGTATGAAAAATTTCAAAAATTCTCTCTCCATGATGCAGATCTGAATGACTCAATCAAAAGTCACAGTTCTAGAGCTCACTGCTGAGTCCTGTCCAAGTTCACATCAGGAAACCAAAGGATGTGCAGTGCAAGACTGAAGAGTCTGTGCTGGAAGCCAGCAGATGAACATCAGGAGAGAAAGTGCAGACAGAAGCTCCTCTGAACAAAGAGAAGGAAGAATTCCTGCTTTATTTCCTGCTTACTCCTTTAGGCTACAAGCCTATTGGTGGTGCTAGTACCATTCGGGGTGAGTCTTCTGTCTTCAGTAAATACACCCAGACACAGCCCTAATTAACTCAATCACCTCAACATTTCCTACTCAGGTTAGGACCATTTACTATCATGCTTTTTACAGCATTGCTGTATTCCATTGTGTTTAAACACCGCATTTTCCTTATCTATTTCCTGCTGAACCTATATGCTATTTTCTACACCTACATTTTACACATTGTATTGCTATAAAAATGGTTTTGCATGTGTCCCTGTACTATGATGATTTGCATTCTTTTGGGAAATGATCATTTCAGTCCTGAAGCAAAGCTCTGCTTTGAGGTACTATCTCTGATCAGGCAGGTTGTTTGGTTGTCAACTCTGCTGCCCTGTGCTGTGGAGAGAACCCAGAGACCGAAGGTGGAGAGTACAATGCCAGGGACCTCATGACTCTCATGTGGTTGCCTTGCAGTCACTGGCATTGGCTGGGAGCAGGGCAGGCAGTTCCAGGTCCTCCTGATCTGGCATGGGGTTCCAGCAGGCATTGACATCTCCTGGGGTGCAGCTCAATGTGCTGGAAGCCGAAAATCAGACATCTCAGGTGATTTAAGGATGGAAGCTCCTTGCAGTCCCAGGCCTTTTGAAGTATTTCACAGGCAAGGCTGTGCCTTCCATGTGCTTTTCCTCTACTTCCTTCCAAATGCCAAATTACATTTGAACTCCTTTCTTGCATATAAGCAGTAAAGAAAAGTCACACAGCCCCCTAAACACATTACTGCTTAGAAATTTATTTCTAAAATTCTCTGGCTTCATTACTCTTAAATTCTCCTGTGAATTACAGAAGAGGGCATAATGGAGGTGAGTTCATTACTCCTTGCCAAAATGGTGGCATTAAATACTTTCCAGTAAGATATTTCTTAGTTCAATCTATACATCATACTTGCCTGTGATTTCTGCCAACCTTCCCTTTGTGACCAGATAGATCAGCCCTAAGAAACTTTAGGCTTTTCCTCCTCACCTCTGCTCCTCCTGAGCCCACAGCAGAGCCTCCTCCACCCTTCCCTCAGATGGGCCTGCATTCTGCAGCACTCAGTGCAGCATGAAGTGGGTTGTCCTCTTCAGAGCTGCCATCCCATGTGTGAATAGCTGTGACAGCACTGTCTTCCCTGGT